AGCCAAAGAACCATGTTTGTAAACAATCAACAATAAAATTCGTTTTTTTCTTTTGTTAAAAAAAAAAGTTCACAATCTTCAAAACCTAATCAAGTTATTCCTTAATCATATAATCATTTACTCTATCAGAAATTGTCCGATATGTATAATTTGTATAATATGTATAATATGTATAATATGTATAAGATGTATTTAGATCTTATCGATACATAATCACTGGATTGCTGAATTGTACGCACCGGAAGATAAAATTAAAAAATCGACCGACAAATTATTAGTAGGCGTATTTTAATTTATTCGTTCAATAGAAAATTAGCGATTTAACTGATAACGGAGAGTAACCGGACTCTTCTAAATTAACCACAAATGTTGAAATTATCGTAACACGAACCCTAATAAATAAACTTCATTTATGATGATTAAAATAAAATTACATGTGTGGTTTTAAATTTTCAAAATCTGATTTGCCAAGAGTTCTGTACTCAATTATTATTATTATTATTTTTTATTAAAAATTATATACGTATTAAGAAAATAGAATGATTCCGAAAATGAATAAAAATGTTTAAAATAAGTAAAAACCAGCTTACTAAAAAAAATGGAAATGTTTACTTTTAATGACAAGGTCTACGAAGCATATAACAAATATATATTTCGATTTTTTTTTTTAAAAGAATTAAGAATAACAACGCGTTCTTAATTTAACACATTTAACACGGTCAATCGATTTACATATTGGGACTACTCAATAACAATAATAAACAATACGTCATGCGGTTTTTCATTCGTTTTATTTATTTGTTGATCTCGTCATACATCACTTTACTTTTCGTCATACAATCATCTCACGGTCTTCGGATATTCTTGCATCCTTTATTCTTTATTTACCAAAAAAAAGTCTTTCTTATTAGTAATTAGAATTAGAAAAATTATATATATTTATATCTTTGATATTGTATATCTCTTTGATATAGTATATAGTATATAGTATAGAGTATATTAGACACGTATCAATATTTGCAACATTAAAATTAGTAACATTAGTAATATTAATTAATCATAAAACTTTATCGTTTTAGATCTCAGACAATATATTGACACGTGACATATTTCATCTTCATCTTAATACTGTAATACGTATTAACATTAACATTTAGCGCATTTAACGCATTTAACGTTAGCATTAACATATATATTTAGCTCATTAACGCTAGCATTAAATTTAATTACGTACATCATTAAATATCGTCATTTTATAATATTATCATATTATCTATATTATCTACTATATTATCTATATTATCTATATTATCATTAAATCGTTAATTACATATCTGATATTACATATTGTTAATTACATATTGGTAGTACATGGCATTAGTACATACAGCTAATAATTACTTTTTTAACTTCTTTTTACAGCGATCAAGATTCAAAAAACATTAACAACCTATTATTTGCTCATGTATTATTTTACAAAGTTGGTTAAAAACAATAAACATTAATAGATCAATTATTACCCTTGTTTGGTATGCTGTATGGAAATCTCATACGCGGGTAGCAGGAATGTGCACGATCTCTTGCATTTGAAATGAAAAGATTCAATTATCGTTCTGTTCTTCACTTGTTTAACCCTCTTATTTTCCATCTTTGGAATACTGGATTTACCCATCAAATTAATTTATGCGCAATCTGTAATCATAATCGTTCTTGTGGTAATCATTACAATCAGTGTGACATTTCTGAATTTTAAACCTTTTAACGTTATCTGTTACGTACGTGTACGTATAAAGTGTACGTATAAAGTGTGAATGTATTAAAAGAATATGGAAATAAATGTCAATAAATGTTAACAAAAAAAATTTATACTTTAATGTATTTGACGTTTAGGAAATATCGATTACTAATGTTTAAACTTTTTGGTAATTGAAAGAATTTAAAAAAATGGTCTCGAATTTTTAAAAATGGTTTCGAATCTAAAAAAATGGTCTCGAATCTAAAAAAATGGTCTCGAATCTAAAAAAATGGTCTCGAATCTTTGGAATTAATTCCAGCATATATCAATACGTAATTTATATAATTCATGTAATATTTTTAAGTGCGACCAATATGACCACTATGACCAATACGACCAATGCTGACCAGAATTACTTTATATTTACAATTTCAGAATTACTCAAAGAATTACTTTATATTTACAATTTACTTTTTTTTTTTTATATTTAATATTAACGTTTACATTTAATATTACCGTTTACATTTAATTTTAACGTTTACATTTTAACTTTACTTGTACGTTTGCATTTAATAATTTTACGTTTACGCACTTACATCTACATTTACATCTACATTTACGTTCTACATTACACCTACATTTACGTTCTACATTACACCTACATTTACACCTACATCTACATTTACATTTACATTTACTATATCTACATTTTACATTTACACTTACATTTACACTTACATTTACATTTACATTGTAAAAATAAAAAAAAATCTCTTATGCGCCGCATACAACATACAACAAAGATACTAATTAATTAATATCTCGCGCAATACTTGAATATCCACAAAATGCATTGCATACAATCTATTTACGTATGAAAAATCTATAAAACCATTTTTGATTAAAAATAGGATGAACTTTTTTTTATCAATATTTGTCATTAGTGATACTTAATAAATGACGTATGATACTGCTTGCATGTTAAGCATGTTAAGTAGGTAATTTTAAATGATCCACGTGTTGAACAATACGTCGAACAATATGTCGAACAATACGTCAAACAATATGTCGAACAATACGTCAATTTTAAAATTAAAAGAAATTACAGGGATATGTCAGATATCCAATACATGAATACGTACGTACGTACGTCCATACTTGCGTACGTCCATACTTACGTACGTTTCGCATTAATTAACTCTTAAATTATTCTTCCAAAATTGTCCTGTTTTTAAAATACATACATACGTCAACAGCGTACGTACATGAAAAATAATAACGCGTCATATTTTAAGTGTACATGCACTATTTAAATAATAAACCTGAATTAGCGTTATCTACACGTTTTTGTACTCATTTAAAATAAAGCTTTAAAATGCAAAAAGATCTTTATTATGATTATTATTATAAAATATATAATTTATATACACACATATATGTAATTTCTTTTCATTATATTTCTTACGTTAATAAATTTTTAAAAAAATTTGTAAATAATTTTGTAAATATATAATTTTGTAAACAATTTTGTAAATACTGTATATAATTTTGTAAATAATTTTTTGCTTGGCCTAATCGTAAATTTGTTAATAATAGTAAAATTGTAATATGTTAAATTTGTTGTTAATGTTTCAAATTTTTTTTAAATACGTATTTGCAAACCAATAAAATTTATAAGTTAGTTCAAACCAATAAAATTTATGAAATTATCACGTTACGGTATTTCCCATTACATTTATATAACGTATTACGTAACGTATCTTCTTCACGTAACGTATCTCACCTAAAATCTTCAACATATCAAATATTGATATCTTCATGTACTGTACGTAACGTAGTAACGTATCTTCACGTAATATAACGCGTACGTTTATTATTATATGTATTCTTATTTCTTCATTGCAGCACTGTACGTGATCTTAGGATAATGTGCATAGAATCATAAATATAATTCAATTATATGGTAATGAATTTCATTTCTTATTTTACTACAGTATGAAACTAAAAAATTCATAGATCTTTTCACGTCTGCTTAAGATGACCTACATGCATGATCAACATTGTAAATCTTTTACAAGCTTTATTCAATTAATATTTTCCGATACAAAGTGCTAAACTAAATGTCGAAAAAATTATACTGAAAATAAATGTCATAAAAAAGTAATTGTGCCGAAAGTTGCATTGAAAATTAAATTCTTGCCGAAAACTTTATAGATTATCAATTTTACCATGTTTAGTTAAAATTTATTTAAAAAAACTTTTTTAATTAATCATAAATTTCCCGAGATGTCGTGTAATTCTTCAAAGTACATTGCTCTTCAAATGTATGTAACTATATGTAACTATGTAAATTCTTTAAACTTTTAAAAAGTATCTATATGCTGTATTAAATATTATAACATTAACATATGTTTCCTAGAAAAAAAAAAGTTGACATCGATATTATCAAGCCTTCATACTCTTCAATTCTTCATACTGTAATCTTCACATTTAATTGTCTCCCTATTTTTTGAAACAAGATGATCGTATCGTATTATATTAGATAGATTAAAATGTCGATTCATTTTGCCTACCGGTTGGACACGACTAGAAATCATTATTATATGACTACTTATATGTCTATATACTTATATATGACTACTCGAAATATATAAACCGATAACCCGACTAATTTATTAATACCCGGGTGAATATTTTCTCTTTGCTGATTAAGTAAGTATATTTAGATATTCCGACAAAACATTGTGTTTGACTTGATCCGTAAAGTATTAGATCAAATAAAAATACTAAATTTAAATTAATATCGAGAAACACTAAATTTAATTTAAATTAATACAGTATTTAGAAATACTAAATTTAAATTAATATCTAGAAACACTAAATTTAAATTAATACAGTATTTAGAAACACTAAATTTAAATTAATACAGTATTTAGAAATACTAAATTTAATTAATATCTAGAAATACTAAATTTAATTAATATCTAGAAATACTAAATTTAATTAATATCTAGAAACACCAAATTTAAATTAATATCTAGAAATACGAAATACTAATTTAATTAATTTCTAGAAAATCCGTTCACTAATCAAATATAAATCTCATATTCTTGAAATTCAATAATCATTTTACAGATCTTTGCCATTTTCAATTTCATTCATCTGTTTTAATTACTGTTTTAATTACTCGAAAATTTTAAAAGAAAAAAAAAAAACATCTTTATTAATAAATAATTTCTTCAAAGTCTCATAAACAATAAAAATTTTATTGATCTAATTTGGAATATTTAGTTTGCTCAGCGGTAACTTTATTCCTAAATGTTTTAATTACTTCATTAGGATTATTGGCTTTAAATATAGATGTCCCAGCCACAATCACATTTGCTCCAGCTTTAGATGCTTCATCAATCGTGTCAAGTGTTAAACCTCCATCCACTTCTATATTTAATTCGGGAAATCTTTCTCTTAATGCCTTTACCTATAAATTAAAATTTATTCCATTAATTATCGTGTTAACTTTTTAAATAATATATCTCTTCAATAATTATATATATATATATGTTGTAAAGTGAATTTAGGATTATAGTGTTAGGATTATAGAGTTAGGGTCATAAAGTTAGGGTCATAGGGGATAAAGGGTTTATACAAAATAAATTCTATCCTAAAATTATAATTTTATTAAATTTCATTCTCACTTACAACATATATCAACTCATATAAAACGTATAATACGTATAATAAACTACGTAACAAATATTATACATACCTTCGGCATACATTCTGCCATAAACTTTTGGCCACCAAAACCAGGTTCAACAGTCATTATCAAACACATGTCAATCTTATGACCCAAAGGAAATATAACATCGATAGGTGTTTTCGGCTTAACTGCAACTCCAACTTTCATTCCATGCTCACGAATTTCATCGATAAGCTTCCCCGGATCTTGTGATGCTTCTATATGAAAACAGAACAATGATGCTCCTGCTTTTGCAAAATCTTGGACCCACTTTTTTTCAAAAAAAATTAGTTATTAGTGTGTGACTGGTTTAGTTTGCGTTTGATAATTCGGAAAACAAACCTTTTCGGGGTTTGATACCATTAAATGGCAATCTACATGAATTTAAAGACTATAATTAAGAAACATAAAACTAAATAATTTGACTCCCAAAGTTAAGGGTTCACGCACATTACCAAAAAAAGCATCGGTGTGTTTGCGTAAAGATTGAACAACTGGTGCACCAATAGTAAGGTTCGGGACAAAATGTCTAAATGTTAAAAATATATATACATATTATCATTATTATCATTATTATCATTATTATCATTATTATCACTATTATTATTTTACGATTTTATTATTTTATTATTATTTTTTGTTTCGTTTTATTTCATTTGATTAATCCTTCAAAAATATACGATTCAGAAAAATTTTAAGTAATTTTACAAATTTCGATGCATACCCATCCATGACATCTACAATTACAGTTTTAAAAAAAAAAATTTTAAATTTTAAAAAATCCATATTCATTTTTTCTATCATTATTATCGATAACGATAAAACCAAACATAAGCAGCATAAACATACCAATGTGCAACCAGTCCGCCCCTTCATTTATCATACGCTGAGATTCAACAGCAAGTTGAGCAAAGTCGCCAGATAAAATAGAAGGAGATATAATTGCTTGTGGCATCTTTATTAAAAAAACTTATTATTGTGTATATTTTTTTATTGTTATTTGAAATAAATTATTTATCTAAAGTGATAAGGTTTTTTAAGAGAAAGGGTTGACTTTTATATAGTGTTACGATGTTCAAATTTTTGTGACATTATTAATCGTTATGTAATAATTATATTATTATGTAATGCTCCTAATTTGGATTAATAATATATTACCTTGTGGCGTAGCATCCCGATAAACACTATCCCCTTTTTATTACAGAGAAATTTGTGTATATATCCCTATTATCAAATAATCAATAATTACAAATTTTATAGTATGATCCTACATAATCATATGCTCTAAAAAAAAAAGGTCTTTTTTTAATTCCGACTTTTTTTTTAACAAAAAATATTTGACTGTTTTGATTAATTTGATTCAATTTCGAGTCTAGTTCAATTAGATACAGAACCTATTCCTTATTAAACTGTGCATCCCCAAAAACCGAATCTGAAAATATTTTTTTTCTTCGAGTGAGCCAAATAAATTACGTGATTCTTTTTCGACTCATACTTGAACAAACGAGTCAAGAATGGTCACTTGATGAAATGCTTAAAAACACGTATTCTACGTATTACTATTATATCACGTTACTTATACAGTACAGTATTATTAGTAGATCAGACATTTAAGTTTTTTTGTCCTTTATTTCTTAATAATACGTTCTAAAATAATACAAATTTGTATCATAAATCATAACCTTGTTTCTTACAGTAATTACAGTAATTACAATAATTTTTTTTAAATCCCCTAGGCGTTTTTACGAATTATTCTATAAAACATTAATGATTGAAACATATTAATGTACATATATATACAATAGCTGGAATTATATTACTGGAAATTTATACTAAAGCCTCATACGTATGCGATAGTTTTATCTGTCGCATATCAATTTTATTTTGACGATTATCATAACACGAATTTTAACAAAAATTTGAAGATTTTTTATTTTTAGGATAAATTAAAACCTATTATACATAATACTAAATTTTTTATGCTTTAATATGAAAATTTTTATTGTAATTAGCTATAAAGCAACTATAAAGTAACTATATTAAACAATTTTACTTAAGAGCAAAAGGTGATTATTAGTAGAATTTTAAAAATTTTTTAAAATAAATAAAAAAAATAAAAAAAATATAAATATTATATAAAAACTTTAACTAGAAAAGTTTTTTTGATAATTACTTGATCCAAGTTTTTGTCAAATACAAATTGAAAACTTAAAGCTTAAAGTTCAACTCTATTTTTAGTTTATGCTTAAAGGTTGTTATATCAAAGTTAAAAATATAATATATTAAGATTATAGTTTTTTTTGATATTAAGACAATTTCTTAGTTATTAGCTTTATTTAGCTCAAAGTATTACTTGTATAATGATTTTGATTACAATATAATGCTTAACAAAAGTTTTTCTGCACCTCTAATTCAGCACAGAAGTGAGGTAAGTAAATTTTTTTTTTATTTAAAGATATATTGAATTACAAGAAATCAATGTATTGTATAATCACCTTTAGCTTCAATTAGACTTTTATATAATCTCATATACTCCTAACTAAATTTTCACATATTTTTTAAGTAAGAGGGCTTTCAGAAATTACATAATTTTTGGTTACTAATAAATTTCAAATTTTTACCCATCTACCTATATATAATACTTTATTAGCCAATCAAATTTTATATAGTATATTTTAAAAATTATTTATATATTCTAATTTTTAAAATTGATAAATTTTTGATTTATTGGTCTATTTTATATAATTTAACTACCAAAATGCTCATTCTCATAAGATGATTCTAACAAGCCTAAAATCATTAAAATCCAATAACAAGGTTCTAAGATAATTTAATTTTTGTATAATTTTAATAGTGATTTTTTAGATTTACTAAATAAATTATTTAAAATTTAATAACTTTTGATTCATTAGCCCATTTTGAATAATTTAATTACAAAAATGTTCATCTCAGTAAGACAATTTTAACAAGCACAAAATCACTAAATTCTAATCATAGGATTCTAAAATCAATAAAGATTTGTATTATTAAATAATTATTTAATTATATATAAATTAAATCATTGTTTAACAATACAAATTTTTATCAATCTTGAAATCCTTAATTAGAATTTAGTGATTTTGAGCTTGTTAGAATTATCTCACTGAAATAAACATTTTAGTAGTTAAATTATCTAAAACAGACTAATAGGTCAAAAGTTATTCATTTTTAAAATATT